ACTGTAGCTCCTATTGTCACAGACTGGTCTACTGCACTGGGACTGTAGCTCCTATTGTCACAGACCGTTCTACTGCACTGGGACTGTAGCTCCTATTGTAACAGACTGGTCTACTGCACTGGGACTGTAGCTCCTATTGTAACAGACTGGTCTACTGTACTGGGACTGTAGCCCCTATTGTAACAGAACTGTTCTACTGCACTGGGACTGTAGCTCCTATTGTAACAGGACTGTACTACTATACTGGGACTGTAGCTCCTATTGTAACAGGACTGTTCTCCTGCACTGTACACACACATCCCTGGGCTATACTCCCACTGAAAACACAGACGTGGACAATGTAAACCAGTCCTCCAGGACCAGGACTGGACCCCGGCACAGACACACCAGAACTCCAGAACCAGGACTGGACCCCCAGCACAGACACACCAGAGCTCTAGAACATGCACTGTAGACACAGCCCCCCCACACTCTGCAAGCACAGGACACAACCAGGACGGCAGACTGCACCCTGGGGCACCGTGTGAACTAGTGCGCTTCTTAACTGGCACGCTAATAATGCAATGGACTAATTACACCCCACACCAGCCCCTTGGGCACAGCTAATTTAAGAGGATGAACTAATTAACATCACTTGAAATAGACAAAATACAGTACAGAGGAGAGGACTGATACAGGAATGTGCTGCTAGCAAGGACACTTCTGAGCTATCTGGAGCTGTGCACTCTCACCTCTGACCTCTCACCTCTGACACCCCTATACTGCAGTACCTTGTACGCCAGCATTGGAACAGACAACGACACAGCTAATTACTTAAAGCTCTTATTTCTAAATTGAAAAGAGGAACGTGCTGGTGGTCCTCCAGCTCCATCCTCGCGGTGCAGAAGGACAAGGGTCTTGAAAGACTGGGGGCGGACCGCAGGGGGCGGACCGCAGGGGGCGGACCGCAGGGGGCGGACCGCAGGGGGACTGGCCACAGCGACGCGCGCCCACATGACTTTACCTCGGGGCACTCTGAGGATAACGTTCCCGAAGCATTCCTATCCTCTCCCTCAGGAACACCAGGGCCAGAATCACGGGATTCGGAGAGCTCCGTCGCCTCCTTGGTATTGGGGAACAGGACCCCAAAAACCTCCGGCTCCAGCAGGTCCCAATAATCCCAGCTGGAGTCGGAGCACGATTCCGATTTGGAATCGTCGGCCGGGGAGTCCCAGTCGCTGTCTTCTCCAGACATGGAGCCCAGCACAAAATCCACGCCCGACCTACTCCTGTCCGAGTCAGAAAGGCATTCCCAGGAATCCTGGCGGGAAAAGCCGTCGGACCCTCTCCTCCCGTCGGGATTCCCGGCGCCCTGGGCAGGCGCGATGCGCTCCGGAGCGGCCAGGTACACGAAGCTGTCGGTGGAGAGGAAGGCGCCCCCTTCGGGGTCCGCGTCCAGTTTAGGGGGCGGGCTGCAGGGGGCGCTGGGCTCCTCGGGGGTGGGGGGGCACTCTGGCGGGGCCGAGACCGCCAGGTACACGAAGCTGTCCGTGGCCACGAAGGACAGGTCAGGAGTGGCGCCCCCTGCTGGCGTGGAGGACAGAGGCGGTGGTGCAGGTGGGGGGGAGTCCGTCCTGGGGGGTGTCGCCCCCTCTTCCCAAGCTGCACACAGCTCCTGCTTGGAGTCCGGCTCGCTGGGAATGGAGGAGCCCAGCTCCTCTGCGCAGGTACTTTTGGGGTGCTCTTCCTCACCCCCACCCCCCTCCTCGCTGTCTCGCGCTCCCTCTTGCCCAGTTTCTTTCTGTAAGGATGAAGGGTCCGGACCGCCCCCCTCCCCCTCCTCCGGGGGGCAGTACGGATTCTCCGGGGTGGGAGAGTGAGCGCGGGAGCCAGACTGCTCATCGCCTGACCTTCGACACGCTCCTTCGTCGTCACTATCGCCCTCCTCTTCCTCCTCCTCTCCTTGCTGGGGAGACAGCCTGCTTCCCGAATCAGACCTGGAATCGGGACTGGTGCTGCCCGCGGCCCAGTGTGGAATGGGAATGGAAGTGGCACCGAGCCCAGGATGCTCCCAGCGGTCCCGGGCAGCCTCGGATTCGGCGTCGCCCTCCTCCAAGCCTCCAGGCTTCTCTTCGGTGGCTCCTGCACCCTGGTGCCCCTCTCCGAGCTCCTCCGGCTCCAGGGGTGAGTGTCGGGGGTCCTCTGACCCCGGGTGGGCCGAAGCCACGGCCTCCTCCTCCTGGCACTGTCTCTCCGGCTCCAGGG